TGGGAGAGTCTATTATCTATAGAATAGGTGTACTCCACTATAATACTAATGTATATATATATATATTATATATATATATAACGCATGCATGCATATATATATATATATATATATATATATATATATATATATATATATATATATATATATATATTTCATTAAAGACAACTAATGGGATTGTTTTTATTTATTTCCCAGTTAGGACCCAATTAAACAAAGACGGAATCAAACTCCTAAACTCTATCCAACATACTCGTAGAAAATACAAATATAATAGAATAGCCTCATACATTGATAAAAAGGGCTAAAAATAATGGTAGTATTTATAATAAAAATAGCAAAAGCCAATAATATAATATATATATATATATTCAAGATGATAAAATCCATGTAGAGTGCTGTGTCAAAGAAGCAAGAATGTAATATAAAAAAGCTCAAACACTAATTTAAGTTTATATATATATATATATATATATATATATATATATATATATATATATATATACATATATATATATATATGCATATTCATTTAAAATAAAAAATAAAAGCCATCTTGATAATGGCTAATAGAATAGCCGAAAGTGTTCGGATATATAGAATATTCGGATAGTTTTTATAGACTATATGTTCAGAAAAGAAATCACTTATCCGAACGCAAGAAAAACTGAATAAACAATTTAAAAAGAGAAAAAAAAAGTAAAAAAAAAAAAGTAAAAATAAAAGAAAAACAGAAAGGAAAATGGAAAAAAAAAGAGAGAAAGGGAGAAATAATGTTTTTTCTCCTTTTCTGTTTTTTTTTTTTTCCTTTTTCTTTCACTTTTAAACATTTTTTCTCTTTCTTTCTTGATTCTTTAAAGTTTTAAAATTTTTATTTCATCTTTTTATTTTATTTCCAAACCCCTTACTGCTGACAATCCTTGCAAGCTAATTCTTGCGGGGATAAATATCTGTATATATATGGGGTATTTCTGAATTTCTCTTACATGTAATTTATTTATATATCCTCTGTAATAAATAAATTGAGCTCTCTTTGTGGATCAGTTTTAATATTTTATATTATTAGAATTCACTTGGATTATTTACCCACAGATTTTTACCTATATATATATATATATATATATATATATATATATATATATATATATATATATATATGTGTGTAAAGAAAGAAAAAAAAAATACAGACGACATACATTTAACGGATGTCAGAATTCGTTGAAAAATACATCCCTACCCTCCCTAAACTTAACCCCTTTTTCAAACGTAACTAATAACTGATACAACAAAAGTTAATAAAATGAACACGCAACCACCCCTTGTCTGGTTAAATAGATTTCTCTGTATCCTTGGAAACTGTAAATTATGATTTTTGCCGTACCTTTAAAACCCAGTAAATTTAAAAATAAGTTACTCCAAAATTCGCTTAAGGATGAAATGGAACTAATGTCTTTAATTTAATTACAAAATTAAATTCTAAGCTTTTAGCTTCCATTTTTGAAACATGGTTAAAACTGTATAGCGAAAAAAACATATTTTAAATCAGTTAATATATATATATATATATATATATATATATATATATATTAAATTTGAAATTATTAATAACTTTATTAATTCTTGGTCGATTTTAATAAAACGTTTTATTCTGAGCAGTATAATCGTTAAAGTACAGTACCGTGGTAAAATGAAGCCTTTTGTATATTTTTTCAAATCTGGATTTTGAAGGACGACTGCTTCTTCTTTGATTGCTTCAGCATCCACTGCAGCACAAAGTCTATGAAAACTGCGTCACCATCTCTGCACTCGTACCACAGACTGTCACACTTTGTAACTTGATGCGAGCTGACGCGCTCATACAGTGTCAGACGTTGTGCCATTCTAGCCTATATTTGCCAAATAAAAACAGTAATTAACAATGAAATACTATCACTTTAGGGACCACAATATATTAGGTTTTATGCAAATCTGGTAATATCAACAAAGGTTATAAATAATTTTCAGTAGGGAGTACCTTTCCAACCGCACTATATGTACATACACACACAGACACATACATACATACATACATATATATATATATATATATATATATATATATATATATATATATATATATATAAAACCACGTGCACACACATTCATATATTCAGGGTGTTCCCACCAAATTACTCACTCTTTAAATGACAATAAATACAGTGTTCATTCACTTGCAAACTAGAATAATGGTTTAAATTAAGAAATATTAATATTCATTGACTTACAAAGATGTAACGGAGAATCAGATTAACCCGATAAGAGGTCCAGAGTTGGTTGCGTGTGGTTACGTCCTATTCTACAATTGATTGTTGAGAGAGGACATTCTGCTTAGAGTAGGATGTCTTTCAACAGGCAAGTGTGGAAGAGAACGTAACGCTTAGTGCTTACAACCCGCAACCAACACCGGGTTGGTTGTCGGGTTGAACCGATTCTCCGTTACAAACATTAACAGTTTAAATTAGTTATTAAATATTAAATGCATGGATCTGAAAATAAAATCAACAATTTGTAGAAAGTAAAAAAGTGACTACATATTTTTGACACTATATATATATATATATATTAATTATAACTTTATTAGAAAAATATATTATATCGCTACTCAAAAACTTTCATGTTTCATGAACAATTTTCATTTCCGAAACATGAAAGTTTTTGTGTAGCGATGTAAAATATTTTTCTAATAAAAATATTATAATATATTTTGCTCTACCTTGTATTGAGCACACTTTTGAAAAAATAATTGCTAAAGAATAGCAGTCTGTTCTTTTCCTTTACATATCTATCTATCTATCTATCTATCTATCTATCTATCTATCTATCTATCTATATATATATATATATATATATATATATATATTGATGTAAATATGCTGCTCTGATCAAAGTCGAAAACAATTCACTACGATGAAAATGTCTGGAGAGTGTCCTGATAGCAAAGACATCTACAATAAATTTACGCCCTGGCTCTTATATCATTTCACCATTCCTGGCAGAACTTCTATTATCACAGTGGGCGATATCTACAAATAAGAGTAATGTAAAGAAAAATAATCAAAATGAAATCGGCTAGATTTAAAAAAAATAAAAATAAATAAAAAATTCCCAGCATTCCTTGTTCGTGAGTATGTGTACTCATACCAACATGTTAAATGTTAATAATATAGTCCGATGAAGTCTCAAAGGATAACACGATATATATAGTCACCCACTTGATCAAAAGTCGACCGATTTGCCATCAGTCAGACTGACTCTACCTCTAAGCTATGGGCGCATGGCAGAGAAAGGGAATCTTTTAACGTATTATATACGTGATGTATACAAACGCCAAATCAGTAGCCAAGGGCGCTCAATTTATAACTCAAGATCGATGTGTTAACAGCAGGAGCAGCCACTGTTGAAAATTCACTTACTCTATAGTGCTCAATCGGCGAACGGGAGCATAAATTGTTATCCATGTACAAACCTGTTTCGCTGCATCACAGCTCATCAGTGTGGCTATATATCAGAGTAGTTCAAGCCGGGATCGAAACTCGAAATTTTCTATAGAGATAGATAGATAGATAGATAGATAGATAGATAGATAGATAGATAGACTATATGTGGAGATAGATAGAGAGTTAGATAGATATATATAGAGATAGATAGATAGATCTGTAATGAATTGAAAACAAAAAGGCTCCGACGAATGCCTAAATCCTTGCAGACATGAATGAATGGACGAATAAATAAAAGAAAACAGCAAGAAATAAAAGAACATTGAATGAAATACATTCAGACAGACATGAGGTTATATAAAGAAACACTAACAGTGTCTTAGAACAAGTCATGGGAAATTACGATAAAATATCTCATCCACACACAAGACTATAATAACACGTGGTTTTGAAATTTTCCCAACTTCCGGTAGCTGGCAAAATAGAAAATAATTTAAATATTAAATAAATATATCAATAAATAAATAAGAAATATGTAATAGTAAACGTCTATTTTATAGTTGAGTTTTGAGCTTAGGCTTGGGTCAAGGTTTGGGAGAAAGGAATGAATCGTCGTGATGATGAAGGGGTAGAAATCGAGAACCCGAAGATGATTATGTGCATAGTTGAAGTGTATGTTTCGTTTTCTAGAAATAAGAATCGGGTTACAATAACCAGACAGAGCGCGTGCGTGTACGCATGCGCACTGAGAGCTGTTTACTTTGTTTTAATTTCCATATTTCCCCTTACTTTTTTTTTTCTCTTTATCTGCTTTTCATTTCTTTTGTGTTGGTAAAATAACAGCTGCAGAATTTAATTACATCCTCTACCATATTTGTGCTTCTCACCCCCTCTGTCGTCACCTCCATCCAGCCTCATGAGTTTAAGAATTCTTTCCAATTTTTGTATTTTATCCCAGACTCCAACGCAGTTTTCCCTGAATTTCATCACTGACTTTCTTCATTTTGTTGCGAACATTGGATAAATTTATAAATAGATATATTCTATAACGGCACTATGTGACCATTAGCCTAAATGCGGTAGTTTTAAAATTGTTTCAAAGTTAATAAGAAAGGATACAATTACGGCATTAACTCAACTACAAGAAGACAAAACTTAAAACATTTGTCTTGACTGACTGACTGATTTGTTTATTTATGGTTTATTAACTTTTGTAGGCCATTTAAAGCGAGGAAATATTTTTATATTATAAGAATTTTTCCGGGGAGATAATAATGATTTACTAATTAACCCATATTTGGGGGAAGTGGATTCATACGATTCTCTGATTTTCAACACCAACCAGTTATAATAAAAACTCTCAGATTCCCGATCCGTTATTATAAATGGTGGAAAAATAATGAGATAAAGTGATGTAATCTTGCTTAAATTATTTACAGCGTGCTTTTCCAGCAAACAAACTGAAAATGAATAAAAGGATAACATTTAAACCATCTGGTGTCATTTTACTAATATCACAATGACTTACGGCCGTATCAGGTTGAAACAACGGTTTCCGTATGAATACCGAAGTTAAGCAACGTCGTGCCTGGTCAGTGCCTAGATGGGTGACCTTTTGGGAATGCCATCTTCGAAGTGCCGGCGATGCAATGAATAATGGATTGAAATTGCTAATCAGAGAGCTGAGTTCTAATTCAAAGTTGGCTTCGTTATATTATACACAAATACCCATGGGAGAGGTATGAATCCACCATTTCTCCCCAGATCTATACGTTAATTAGCAAAAGTTGTACCCCTAACTCTCGGAGTAAAAAAGCCGTAGAAAGCGAATCAATCAATAAAAAACGGATAAAGAGAACAAAGGTGAATTTAAATTGAGTATAAAATGATTTTAACAAAGAGGTTGGAGAGTGCAACGGCTGAAACATTATGTGTATATCAACCCACTTACCATGTTGGTCCGAAGAGAAAATCATATAATAATGATAGTTGCCATCTAAAATATTTCTCCATGGAAGCAAGAAATTGGAGCAAGAAGAAAGGAGAACAGGTGGAGGTAAAGGTTGTTTGATATGTACCAAGTGATTGCTTTTGTCCAGCAGCTCAGGATGCCATCCACACATATGAAGCGCTATGGGTACTGATATAACACTTTTAACAGAGCGCACGGATACTACACTCCAGTCAGTTATTTCCCTATCTCCCAGAGTGGTACGATATGACATGCATAAATGTGGATCAATGAAGACTAAGACGAGACCCGGTGGATGAATGTCATGCAATTGTAAGAATACTCCCTGATTTCCCATTTGGTGCAATGGGAGGGGGTATTGCCTCAGAAATGGAATCCAAGGGAACTAGTGAAAGAAATATATTACAGTACCTGAAGAAAGACTATATAAGGGAAACAGATACTACACTCTAATTACTGGTGAGCGGGATTATAATTCAAAGCAGATGGTATTTACCACTCCACCATCTCTATAGTGGTAGGATATGACACAAAATCGGTTTAACATGGACACACACACACACACACACACACACACACACACACACACATATATATATATATATATATATATATATATATATATATAAAAAGTTTTAAGGTGTGCTATATTTATGGGATAAAGTGCTCAATATCAGATATGAAGTGTATGTAAATATAAATATAAAAGTGAACATTGAAGTCAACACTCAGAGTCCACGGGCCTTTTTTTATGCTCGACGCAATCGTCAGGCGGTCTGACGATTGCGTCTAGCATGAAACAGCCTGTGGACTTCAATGTTCACTTTTATATTTCCTCTCTCTCTCTCTCTATATTTATTCATAATATCGTGATCTATCTATCTATCTATCTATCTATCTATCTATCTATCTATATATATATAAATCATTTCACTCCAAGCGAGGCGATGATGCCACTAAGACGCAAGGGGTTACTGGTAGTTAAAGAAAATGGAATGTCTTTAATAAGGAGAAAGGACAATAAAATTATAGGATTTAGGAAGACAGAATTTGGCGATTGGCGTTGCATTTATATTTTTGAACATTGTAGATGGCAGGGAAGTACGAAACGGGAAAAGAATTCCACAGGCGAGAAGTGCGAGTATTAGAATCGAACATACAAGCATCTTGCTTGTTAAACAGTAAAATGATGAGACTTAGTTGCCAGTCTAGTAGTAGGCTTTAATTCATGTAGTTTAGGTACAAAGAAAGAAAGCTCACCAGAACAATTGTCATGAAAATATCTGTAGAAAAGACAGAGAGAAGCCAAGTCACGGCAGTTGGAAAGTGACTGAAGTCATGATGCCAGACCAAGATCGATTCTACAAAAATTGACCAGTCTCTGCGATCAGTGTCACGCTGACGTTAGTGTCCATAAACACTCTTTTGTTTTTGTGTATAATGAGGATGGTGCTGCTGCATGATTGCAATTTTCGTTATCAAGCATTCAAAGACCTTTTCAATACACTGCCAAAGCAAAGGCAGCTTGCTTTTTCATTTTCTTTAGAAAAGCAAAATTGCGCTCTGTGTGAAAGCCGGGGTTTGATATCATGAGTACACATACCAAAAATTAGATATATAGCTTTTATCAATGTTAGAGCATTTAATTTTAAAGATCGTCTGAAAAATGTACAGAAGCACCCATTTTTTTTTGTTAACAATCTGACCTCAAAATTTTACTATTTCAAGAATAAATTCAAATAAAATTGATATTTTTTGTATTAAATACATTGAATGAAAAATATATTCAAACGAAAATTCGAATTATGGATCACCACAAGCAAAATATGCATTTTTTAAAATTGTATTCGATAAGTAAAAACTGTGTAAAAAGATTGTAAAAGATTACAAAAATTCTACTCAATGAATAAAATTTGTTAGATCATTTGTTAGATCATAATTAATAAAAACAAAAAATAGGTAACGGTCTTTATAATAACCATAATATTGTCGAGAACAAATTATAAGCGAAAATGTTTTAAATTTGCATTCTTTATTGAAAGTTACACTAAAATTACAGCACGTTGTATTACATAATAAGATAAGCTAAATTGTTCAGTATAATTTGCTTTTGAAGCAAAAGAACGTTTTATTTGATGGCACAATGATTTAGCAATAATGTGCCATGCATCTTATCCATATAGAGTCTGTAAAGTTTCAGTTAATTATACATTTTATAAGGCTGTGCTCTAAGTCTTTCACTGATCACCGAAATGAAATTCCAACACTACAATTTTGAACCTAAACTTAATCTTTTAAACTCATTTACTCAAAAAATGGTAATGATTTGGAAAAAGATATTTTGTGTCTTTATTTATCCTGTAGAAACCCCAACTTTCAAATTGAGAGCAATACCACGGTTTCAAAATCGACCTGACATAGTGCCACTGAAAAAACACAGCAGTGATGTGAAGAAGAGATACTTCACACAGGTCACAGTCCGAAAGCCGGGTAATTTGTGCTCTGCATTTACCCGCATCCCCACTGTAGAAGGATAAGTCACATAGACATATATATGACCCAAAGACAAATATTGTCCAGTCCCTGTGACCACTGTCACTGTCGGTATCCACCAAATCTTTCAGATTAGTGCAAAGTGGAAGGTACTGTCGAAGTGTTAGAATCCCTGCACCAGGCATCTTTCATGACTTTAAGAGGAAGAGAGAACAGATATTGAACATACGTCCTGATGATCATAGGCATATCGCAGAGATGTTACTATGATCTTCTGTCTATTTCCCAACGGTGTTACGGGTGGCGTACACACACTTACTTATAAATCAAAGGCTGGCCTAGAACAATTCTCGAAACCACTGTTCTCCAGGAGTCAGAGTATTCTTACCTGTAATTAAGTTGTTCTCTTTCACTGAACTGCATGAAAGCAGAAAAGAATGAAGGGACGAGCCGAAGCAAATATTTTATACTTTGACCTCAGCATTAAAGTCAAGGAATTCTTGCAATTACCTATCTATGAAAGGTGTCAGGATATAACGCATAGTCAAGCAAGGCTATAAGAAGATTTCTGCAGCAGGAATAAAATTCCAGGACTAAGATTTTCCGTGAAAGACCCGAAAGCAGAAACACGAAATGCAACCCGAAGAGGAGTTTCAGTGATGACAGTTTAAAGAGCAGTGAAAAAAGACTTGAAAATGAAGTCGTACATGAAATGTGTGAGACAGCTTGATACTCCTGGACAGGAAGTTAGAAGGTCAGAGTGGATGATATTCAATAAGTTTGAGAATGGTTCTGGAATAATAAATATATATTTGAACTTAATTTCAATCGTTCATCAGCTTCCGATCCTTAGCTATGATTAATTAATAATGAACATGTCATTTTCGTTTATAATCGATTTCATCACGTTTCTTCTGTTAAGCTTGGAGAGTAATTATACATCCTTATTGCTCAAAGTAGAGTCCAATAGTGTTATAAAAGCTGGGAGAATTCCTGTGAGATATCTTTAATCATTTCTAAGATAAAACTGTTCAGCACTTAATTTAACAATTGTACTGTTTTGCTGCTACATGATTTTTTTTAAAGCATTACGCTCCGAGAAAGGCGTGAAGCCACTGGGATGCAGGGGGTTGCAGAAGATTTGGAGCGAGAGCAGATAGGAGTGATAGAAGAAAGGATGAGGAGAGGGATAGTGGGTAGATCAAGGTAACTGAAGATGTCGATTGACATTACATTTGAATAGTTGGAGATTATAGCTCTCAAGGAAACAGTAATTGGGAAGGGTGTTCCACAGGCGAGAGGTGCGAGGTATGAAGCTACTGGAGTAGAAGAGACGGCTACATTTAAAAACATTTACATTTACATTTCTACAGTGTAAGAGTGAGAGCGGGATGCCAGCCTCGTAGGGCGCTTGAATTCATGAAGTCTGGGAACCAGTGAAGGCAGCTCAGCGGAGCAACTAACATGAAAGTATTTGTAGAAAAGACAGAGAGAGAGGCGACGGCGCATCTGTGAGAGAGTGACTGTAGACGAGATACCAGATCAGGTCCAACCATATTACATATCCGTCTCTGGATCCTGTCAAGAACTCCGAGGTAAACAGAAGGTGCCCCAGACCATATATGGCAGCAATACTCCATGCAAGGGCGAATGGTTGTTTTGTATATTTGAAGTATCGATCCCGGGGAGAAAAATTTCCTGGCGCGGCACAGAGAGCCAACTTTCCTCGCGGTGGACGATGCAATTGACTCAATGTATTTGTTCCATCTCAGGTCAGCAGTCAACGTGAGACCGAGCAGACGCAGAGAGTTGCTCTCAAGAAGTTGACTATCAGACATTCTAATGGGGGCCAGAGAAGGATCTCTATGGTGATTAATAGAGATTAGTTTAGTTTTCGAGGCGTTAAAGTTGACCAGCCAGTTCTTGCCCCAGTTAACAACCGATTGGAGGTCCATTTCAAGACGAGCGGCCAGGTTAGTTTTGTCACCGACAATAGATTTGTTTTTGAGGCAGGAATAAATTGTAGTGTCGTCCGCGTAGATGCCAACCTGGGAATCTATGGCGTCAGGAAGGTCGTTGATGAAAATAAGGAATAGAGTCGGGCCAAGGATGGAGCCTTGGGGAACACCTGCCTTCCACTCTATTCTTTATTTTCATCAAC